TGTCTGTCTGTTTCAGCTTTTTGTTTTCTCTCTCTGTTTTCCTTAGTGCTATACTTTGGTCTCTCAGTCTCTCTCTCTCTCTCTCTCTCTCTCTCTCTCTCTCTCTCTCTCTCTCTCTCTCTCTCTCTCTCTCTCTCTCTCTCTCTCTCTCTCTCTCTCTCATTCATCTCTCTCTCTCTCTCTCTCTTCTCTCTCTCTCTCTCTCTCTCTCTCTCTCTCTTCTCCTCTCTCTCTCTCTCTCTCACTCTCTCTCTCTATCTCTCTCACTCTCTCCCTCTCCTTCTCTCCATCTCTCCCTCTCTTCTCCTTCACTCCCTCCCTCCCTTCCCCCCTCTCTCTCTTTTACTCCCTCCTCCCCCTCCTCTCTCTCTCCTCTCACCTCTCCCTCCCCCCTTCTCTCTCTCCCTCTCCTCTCCCTACCTCTTCCTCTCTCTCCTTCCTTCCCTCCCCTCTCACCTCCCCTCCTCTCTCCTTCCTCCCTCCTCCCTCCTCCTCCTCCCTCCTACTCCCTCCCTCACGCGAAGTGAAGTCTCTATATGGAGGAGAGGCCCTGCAGGTTTCATTAATTCACAGGAGCGTATTGGACCCTGAATTATGTTCGGATGCATTTCGTTGCGGCCCCAGGGGAATGGAGAGGTGGGGGGGGGGGAGGTAGGAGGAGGAGGAAGGATGGAAGGATGGAGGAAGGCGTGGAAGGGAGGGAGGAGAAGGAAGGGCTAGGAGGAAGGGCTGAGAGGGAAGGAGAGAAGGGAGGAGAGGAGGAAGGGGAAGGATAAAGGGGTGGAAGGGAGGGGAGGGCAGGAGGAGGGTGAGAGGGAAAGAGAGAAGGAGAAGGATGAGAGGGTGGAAGGGAGGGAGGGAGAAGAAAGGGCTAGGAGGAAGGGTAAGAGGGAATGGAAGAGAGGGAGAAGGAGTTGAAGGGGAAGGGATGAGAGGGTGGAAAGGAGGGAGGGAGAATGGAAGTGCTAGAAGGAGGGTAAGAGGGGAAGGAGAGAGGTAGGGGAAAGGGAATAAGATAAGAAGAGAAGAAGAAAAGGAAGAGAAAGAAAAAGAATGGAGAAGGGGTGAGGAAGGACAAAAGAAGAGAAGAGAAGGAAAGGAAAAGAGAATTTTGAACGGAGGTGTGAGAGAAGAAGGGGGACATAAAAGAGGTTGGAGGAGGGAGATAAAGTGGGGGAGAGGCGAGACAGCTGAGTAGGAAGAAAAGAAAGAAAATCAAATGGGGATGGAGAAAAGAAAGGTAAGAGAGGAAGTTGTAAAGGGAAAGGAAACAGAGAACGCAGATTGATGGAGAAGAGTGGACATGAAGTAAAAAAATAAAGTGGATAATATATGTATTATATATATATATATATATTATATATATATAATATATAATATATAATATATAATATTGTATATATATTATATATATATACATATATATTATATATATATATTATATATATTACTATATATATATATATATATTTATATATATCTAATATATATATATATATATAGAGAGAGAGAGAGAGAGAGAGACGAGAGGAGAGAGAGAGAAGAGAGAGAGAGATAGAGATAGAGATAGAGATAGAGATAGAGATAGAGATAGAGAGATAGAGATAGAGATAGAGATAAGAATTAGAGAAGGAGATGCGTAAAGGTCGAAGAGGATCTAAGAAGGAAGAGGGAGAATAAAGCATTCAGCATGAAGGTAGGGAAGAGGAAAAACAGAGAAGCTAAACACACGAAAGAGTGTCTATATGATGGAATATAAAGAAAATGTCGAAACGAGCAATGGAAAGTAAATAAAGGTATTGAATAAATGTACGAGAAGGAGAATGACGAAAACGCGACATGGAAGGAGAGGCAGAGAGAATACAATAAAAGCAAATTTAAGCTTATAAGCAAATGTAAGGAAATCAACGAAAGCACAACAGTAAACAAGCGGGAATTTGGATGAAAGAACAGGCGAACAGACAAATTTTGAACGAGGAAAAGGAACAAACGATGAAGAATTGTGAAACACTGTGAGTCATATGACGTCAACTGGTACATTTTCTTCATAGCTTGAGTATATTTATCAACTTGTGTAAGTCAATATTTGTCAATTTTTTCTCGTCAAAGTTTTCTGAAAGAAGTAGAAAATTTAGGTTGATGTTTTATAACGGATGTTGAGGAAGGAAAAGTATAATAATGATTGTGATGATAACCCAAGGTAATTAGATAGAAAGGATGGATTAATAGTTTTAATGGATTGCTAAAAAAAAAATAACTATACTAAGAAAAAAATGAATGAACGGATAATCATAATCATAATGATGGATAGTAGTAATGGTAATGATCCTAATGAGTAATGGTTTATGATAGAAATGATGAGAATGATGGTGTTAATTATAATTAATAATGATAACACATGATGATAAAAGAATAGCATATTATATTATGGTTAAGATGTGATAACAGTAATTATGTAATGATAGAAATATTAACGACAATGTAATGATAAAGAAAGAGGGATTAATAATGATAAGACTAAGGGCTTCTAAAGTAGCTACAAAAATAAGAATTAAAGACAGTAACCGGCGCATCGCAAACGTGTTTATTAATGTACAAATATTTGATGATTTTTTTTTCCGTATTTCTTTATTTTCAATTCATATTCCTGTCCGTGTTTCAGTCAGCTGGGAAATATTTTTGCCTCAGACTGACGAAAACCATTTTGAGGAAAACCATCCTTCACTCAAGGTACATTTTTCGTTTTCTTTCCTTTTTTGTCCTTTATTTCTTTCTCCTTTTTTTGTCTGCCTGTTTATCTATTTGCTTTCTTTTCCTCTGTCCTCTCTTACCGTCTTTGTATCTGTCTCTCTCTGTCTGACTCTCTCTCTTGCCCTCTTGCTCTTTTGCTCTCTCTCTCTCTCTCTCTCTCTCTCTCTCTCTCTCTCTCTCTCTCTCTCTCTCTCTCTTCTCTCTCTCTCTCTCTCTCTCTCTCTCTCTCTCTCTCTCTCTCTCTCTCTCTCTCTCTCTCTCTCCTCTCTCTCTCTCTCTCTCTCTTTCTCTCTCTCTCTCTCTCTCTCTCTCTTCTCTCTCTCTCTCTCTCTCTCTCTCTCTCTCTCTCTCTCTCTCAAAGTAAATCGAGCTTAAATATGCAGACGCTGAAATGATCATCCGAAACAAAAAATGAAATCTAACGTATGCGAATTGGAAAATGTTAAAAGTCAAATAAAAAAGACAATAGGAAGAGGAAAATAATAAAAGAGAAAGTGATGATGATTATAATTATAGAGAAGAAGAAAAAATTGAAATGGAAAATGTAAGGAGGAGGAGGAGGACGAAGAGAAAACGAAGGGAGATAGACAAATAGAATATAAGCAACAATAAACGAAAATTGGAGAAGAGAAAGGAAAACAGAAGAAGAGATAAAAGATACCGACCGAGGAAGACGCGAAGGAAGCATACCTCAGAGCAAATGACTTTCATCTCGTAGAAATAAGACTGCTTGGCTTCGCTTAATAAAGATTTTACGAGAGTTTAACTGCCCACCTTACATCACCGTGAAAGTTGCCAGCTGGTTTAGACTTTGGAGACGTGGGGGGGGGGGTTAGAAGGGGGGGAAGGAGGGATGAGCAGAGGGGGGTATGGGGAAGGGGTTGAGGGGGTATTATGAGGAAGGAGGAGGGGGGTATGAGGAAGGAGGAGAGGGGGTATGGGATACGGGGAAGTGGGGAGGAGTATGGGGAAGGGGGTAGAAAGGGGTATGGAAGAGGAGGGGCATGGGGAAGGAGGAGAGGAGGTAGAGGTGAGTGGGTAGAAGGGGGTAAGAGGTATGGAGAAGGGGGGAGATAAGGAAAACGGGGATCATATGGAAGGGGAGGGGAAAGGGGGAGAGGGGACATGCTAGGGCATTCGGGGAAGGGGGAAGACTAGGGTAAAAGTGCTTATTCATTACGTATTTGTCTAGTAAGTTATCCATTTGCTATTATTTTGTTGTTTACAATAAATGTCACTGATGTATCACTTTCTTAGTTTTGTATATCTATTTCTAGAATGACTGGAGCATTAAGTAATCTATGTAATTTGTCATTTTAATGAGTATTCATGTGTGTGTATTAACACGCATAAACTCGACCATAGATATCTATATCTATTAATATGTATATCTATGTATCCATCTATTTATATAACTCTATAACGCTATATATCTATATCTATCTCTCTATCTACCTATCGATATATATATATATATAAATATATATATATATATATATATATATATATATATATATATTATATATATATATATATATATATATATGTATATATGTATATATATATGTATATATGTATGTATATTATATATATATAATATATATATATATATATATATATATATATTATATATATATAATTTACATGCACATGTATACATATATGTGTGTATATGTATGTATATGTGTGTATGTATGTATCTATCTGTGGAGGTGTGCACATGAACACGCCCCCCCCCTCCCACACATAATCAACCCATCTCCTGCACGCCCACGCTCATTACCAAAACGGGGACTTGAAATATTCTGCAAATAACTGCTACAACGGTATTAAGGCATCATTAATGACGATGTGCATCCGCGGGCGTAATGGGCGGGGATATACTAATGATTATAGATAGGCGGAGCTCACACTCACACTGTAATGATAATGATGATTCGTGATGCTAATGCCGTGCAGTAGTTGGGGAATTACTGGTGGCATTTATCGCCTCGAGCATTTCTTCTCGTTATCTTTCTAATTGTTTATTATCTGTGGGATTTTTTACTAAGAGTGTGTAACCGTTTATTTTATTTTATTTATTATTATTTATTTTTTTATTATTACTAAAGCTTATTGTTAACTTGTAGGTTTTTGCGTTGTATATGGACGTTTCCTTGATATTCTTTGCTGTTCTTGGATAACTTTGTAAGGGTATTTCCATGTTTTTAATTGTTCTGCTCATGATGGGTCTGTCTCCGTTCCAGGTC